AATGTAATTAACTATGATTTACTAAAATGCACGTAGGTTAAACAAAATATTGGTAGCAGGTTTTATTCTTACTAAACAGCAAGTAGAACAGAAACCTTATGGATGTGAATAAACACATCAAGGTATGTGCGCTTGCCAACTAATTGCAGTGGTACCCACAATTACTGGATGCTTATGTTGGCACTCAAATTTTTTAGTTTTTTGTTGCTATTTTTTTATTTTATTATTATTTATTTATTTGGAATTTCTGCTGACATAATTATGCCCATAAAAGTGATAAAAAATCATTCGGCCCATCTAGTCTGCCCAATTTTCTAAATACTTTAATTAGTCCCTGGCCTTATCTTAAGTCTAAGATAGCCTTATGCCTATCCCAGATATGCTTAAACTCCCTCACTGTGTTATCCTCTTCCATTTCCGCTGGAAGCCTATTCCATGCATACACTAGTCTCTCTGTAAACTAATACTTCCTGAAATAATTTTTACAATTTGTCCTACTAATTTAAAATGATGTCCTCTTCTTGTGGTAGTTTTTCTTCTTTTAAAAATACACCCTGTTCCAAATTATTATGCAAATGATATTTTTCTTATATACCTAAATAATTGATGTAAATAACAGTCAGCATAATTCTCATGTTCTCAATAGAAATGAGCGAACACGAACTGTAAAGTTCAGGTTCGTATTGAACATTACGATTTTTGGACCATGAACCTGAACCCGAACCCGGATATTTCAGTAACAGTTCGAGTTCAGTGTTCGGCGATTTAATGGCGCATTTTGAAAAGCTGCAGGGCAGCCAATCAACAAGCGTTTAACTCATGTGCCATTAGAAGCCATCACAGCCATGCCTACCAATGGCATGGCTGTTATTGGCCAGTGCAGCATGTGACCCAGCCTCTATATAAGCTGGAGTCACATGAGCTCTTATTAGTGTAGGGAGAGGATGCTGCAGCTGTGAGGGACAGATTAGGAAAGAATTCTTGTGTTGAATCTGCAAACTACGGCGATTATTTTTATGGGTGCTATACTACATTTTTGTACCCTGCCCTGTGCCTAGTGCCACAGATAAATAAGCAATCAGTCTGTTTGTTAGGTGGGTACTTGCAACTGCATGTGTGCCAGGCACATTACTTTAATCATGTTCTGGTAGCTCAGTGGGCAACATGTAGGCATTTTTAAATACTGCTTTGACATTGCAGTTTGACAAATTCACATTTTTTTGGTGCTAAAAAGTAAATTTGGGGAGTGCACTTCATATCTGAGAGTCAAATAGAACCGTCAAATACTGTGGATACATCGCACTTTGAAAAATTCTATTTTTTTATTTTTTTGTGTGCTAAATAGTACATTTCCTGCCTGAGGTGCACTTCATATCTGAGAGTCAAATAGAACTGTCAAATACTTCTGTGACATAGCAGTTTGACTAATTCACATTTCTTTGGTGCTAAAAAGTAAATTTGGGGCATGCACTTCATATCTGAGAGTCAAATAGAACCGTCAAATACTGTGGTTACATCGCACTTTGACTAATTCACATTTCTTTGGTGCTAAAAAGTAAATTTGGGCCGTGCACTTCATATCTGAGAGTGAAATAGAAACGTCAAATACTGTGGTTACATGGAACTTTGAAAAATTCAAATTTTTTGGGTGCTAAATAGTACATTTGCGGCCTACAGTGCATTTCTTGCAGTCCAATAAAACCGTTAAATACTACTGTTACATTGTTGGTTTAAAAAAAATCACCCTTTTTTTGTGCGTAATAGAACATTTTATTTATTTATTATTTATTTATAAAATATTTTAACAGGAAAGATACATTGAGATTTCTCTAGTTTTCAAGTGTGTCCTGGGTCCACAAATCATTGCATTATTACATTAAGGTGCAATAAAATACAAAACCAATATTAATACACAATAAATACAAAATTTAACATAGAACAGGTAGGAAATATATAATCAACCATGACAGGTGCATTCTGTTTTGAGGTATGTAGAGAGGGATCTCTTAAAGGACTTTAGCCTTAGGGAAGATTTTAAATTGAGCGGGAGGTCGTTCCACAATTGCGGTGCTCTGTAGGAGAAGGAGGATCGGGCCGCTTTCTTTTTGTATTGAGGTAGACTAAATAAAGTGTTGGTACTGTATCGGAGGTTATATGAAGTGGGAACAGCTGGGGAAAGCATTTTTTTCAGGTAGGGTGGGAGTTTCCCAGAAAAGCTCTTAAACACAAGGCTGGAAAGATGAAGGGTGCGTCTGGATTCCAGCGACAGCCAGTTTAGTTCTTTTAGCATGTCACAATGGTGAGTCCTATAATTACATTGTAGCACAAATCGGCGAGTTATACAATGTGTTGAGTTTATTAGTGTGGGATTGTGATGCAGATGCATATACTACATCCTCATAATCAATGATTGGCATTAGCATTTGCTGTACAATCTTTTCCTTTACTGTAGGGCTTAGGCAGGATTTGTTTCTGTACAGGGCATCTAGTTTTGAATAAAGTTTAGATCATGGGTCGTCAACCTGGTCCCTACCGCCCACTAGTGGGCATTTCAGGATTCCAGGTGGGTGGTAGGGATTTTCTAATTTTGACAGATTGGGTGGGCGGGTGCGAGCCGGCAGTACCCCTGCGACCGGGTACCACCATCACCACTTGCAGCCCCGGCCCGCGCGGCAAACCGCTGGGGCCGCATATGGAGAGGTCCATCGGGTGGCCCATGCTGTCTGGGCCACCCGATGGATGTGGATTGTAAGGGGGCCCGGTCACCGCTGGGCGCTTTAATAGCGCAAACGAGCCTCCTGTTTTGCGCGTCATTCCTCCCAGCTAACACACAGACCGCACGGGAGGAAGGAGGAGGAGGGAGTCAGAGTGGGAACTCTGACTCCCATCCATCTGAGCTACCACTGAACCCCAAGGAAAGTCACCCTCCTGCACCTTAAAGGTAGGAAACAGGAGGGTGACTTAAATATAATGTGTGTGTTTGTTTGTGTATGTGTCTTTGTATGTATGTCTTGTGTGTGTCTGTCTGTATGTATGTGTCTGTATGTGTCTTTGTATGTCTCTGTTGTGTGTGTATGTGTCTTTGTCTGTATGTGTGTCGTATGTATGTTTGTCTTGTGTCTGTCTGTATGTGTGTATGTGTCTTTGTATGTATGTCTTATGTTTGTGTCTTTGTATGTGTGTGTCTGTATGCATGTCTGTGTGTGTCTGTATGTATGTGTTTGCCTGTCTGTCTGTATGTGTGTCTTGTGTGTGTGTGTGTGTATGTATGTGTGTCTTGTGTGTGTGTGTCTGTATGTATGTATGTGTGCCTGTCTCTTATAGTGGGCTATAGTAAGTAATAGTAAGTGGGATACCTAGCTCAGCCTTCCTACTGGGCATTGCTATAAGGAAGGTTAAAAAAAAATTCAAAAAGGGGGGAAAAAAGGTGGGGAGGGGAATTGAGGAGGGGAGCTGACACACAGATGAGAAATCATATTATGCGCAAACAGAGAAGTCGTCTGAATATCACCGAAAGAGGAGACCTTCGTTTGTTCCTTACGAAAATCTAACCAGATATCAAATATTTAGTCTTGCAGCATCAACCTCAAGGATCCCATTAATCACTAGTAAAGGTAATTTTTATTTACTTTATTGTTTTCTCATTAAACTTTATAAAGTTAAAAACATTATAAACATGCATTAAGTAGAAATAAAAAGATAAATGTACGTACATTTATTTTTTTTTAAAACACCCTCCTTTCTAAAAAATATTTCGCACTTGCGCAAAAACTGGTGGACGGTAAGGAAATTTTTTCAACCAAAAAGATGCATTAGTGGGCGGTAGGTAGAAAAAGGTTGACTTCCACTGGTTTAGATGCAAGCTTTTCTATGTGCAGGCCAACATCATACCCAAGTATTTGAAAGAGTGGACTGCGGTCAGTGTGCCATTTGAGTTGGTTTTGATTGATAGGTGGGAATTGTGTAATTTGTGTAATTTAGGTACTGTTCAGGAAGAGTTTGTTTTTGCGATCCACTTTTCTACCTCTGTAAACTGGTCATTTGCGGCCTGCAGTGCATTTCTTGCAGTCCAATAAAACCCTTAAATACTACTCTCTCATTGTTGGTTTACAAAATCACACTTTTTGAGACAGTGAAGTAACTGTATTAATTACTCCTGTCACACTATTGTGTGACCTTTCTCTTACTGTCAGTGAACTTAATTGTTGACTATTCGCGGTTACATTGTCGCCTGACATAAACCATCTGTTAGTTTGGGCCTGAGGCGGATAGCAGTTTGGCGCATGTCCTTCCACCACTGAGGATTGCAGGGCATTTCTCTTTGCCTCCTGTTGCCTCCTCCTCCTGCTCCGCTTCTTCCTACTCTACCACCTCCTCATCCGGTCAGCTTAATACCTTCACCACCAACTTCAGCACAGCAAGGGGGAAACGACAGCAGGCTGTTTTATATGTTTGGGGGGGAAACTCCACACTGCGCAGGAGCTGTGGACGAGCATAGAACAACAGACCAGTGAGTGGTTGTTGCCACTGAGCCTCAGGCCCGGCCTGGTGGTGTGCAATAATGGGCGAAATCTCGTAACAGCTCTGAGCCTAGCCGGTTTGACGCACATCTCTTGCCCGGCGCATGTGCTGAATTTGGTGATGCAGAAATTCCTGAAAAACTACCCAGATTTATCAGAGCTGCTGCAGAAAGTGTGGGCCGTCTGTGCGCACTTTTGGCATTCTCACCCTGCTGCTGCTCGCCTATCTGCGCTGCAGCGTAACTTCAGCCTTCCCGCTCACCGCCTCATATGCGACGTGCCCACAAAGTGGAACTCCATCTTGCCCATGCTGGAGAGACTGTGCGAGCAGCAGAAGGCGATAGTGGAGTTTCAGCTGCAGCACGCATGGGTCAGTCGCTCTGCACCAGACTTGCCCTCCAATAGATCCTCGTTAAAGGATTTAAAGTGTACTCATTCCAAATACAGGGCCTCAAAAGAGTTCTGTATTGTTATTTATCGTCACTACCTCCCCGTGTCGGGAATGAGTAATTGGCGTGCCTGCTGCCTTCCTTTGATGTGGTAGCCGTTTCTCAGGCTCCCTCTCTGGAATCAAACCCTGATTCCATATTACCCATGGTCACTATGGTAGGCACAGAAAGTAACATCGAAAGTTGATAGGGCAGACATCCAAATGTATCGTCGCTGTCACGGGGACATGCGATCGGCCCTAGGTTATCTAGAGTCACCAAAGTGCCTGTGCAACGACTGTCATTCTAACTTGTGCTGATTACTGGGTGGCCACCCTGCTGGATCCCCGTTACAAAGACAACATTCCATCCTTAATTCCCTTACTGAAGCGTGATGGGAAGATGCGTGACTACAAGCGCACGCTGGTAAAAGCGCTGCTGAAGGCATTCCCAACTGACACCGGGGGCTCAGTGGAAGCACAAGGCAAAGGCAGAGGAGGAGGAAGAGGTCGCCAACGCAGCTGGGGCACCGCCAGCACCTCAGAAGGCAGGGTTAGCATGGCCGAAATGTGGAAAAGCTTTGTCAGCACACCACAACAACCAGCAACACCAGCTGATATAGATCTTCTTAGCAGGAGGCAGCATTTCAGCAACATGGTGGAACAGTACGTGTGCACATGCCTACACGTACTGACTGATAGGTCTGGCCCATTCAACTTCTGGGTCTCCAAATTGGGCACATGGCCTGATCTTGCCCTTTATGCCTTGGAGGTGTTGGCCTGCCCTGCAGCCAGTGTATTGTCTGAACGTGTGTTTCGCACGTCAGGGGGCGTTATCACAGACAAGCGCAGCCGCCTGTCCACAGCCAACGTGGACAAGCTCACCTTTATTAAAATGAACCAGGCATGGATCCCACCAGACTTTTCTGTACCTTGTGCAGAATAGACATTTATACCAGCCTCACCCAGCCATTGTTATACTCAAGTGCACTTATTCTTTGTTTTCTTTTTTTATATGTCCCAATATTTTGGGGGTGACCCCAATTGTTTGCAGGGCACTTGTCCTACTCTTACCCCCCTTTTGCAGCCCTCTAGCCCTTTCCAGGACTTTTTTAGAGTCATTTTAGTGCCCAAAAGTTCGGGTCCCCATTGACTTCAATGGGGTTCGGGTTCGGGGTCAAGTTCGGGTCAAGTTCAAGGCCGAACTCAAACTTTTTGCCGATGTTCGGCCGAACACGGCGAACCCGTACATCCAGGTGTCCGCTCAACTCTAGTTATCAACTAATAAGAGTACAATTCAAATTTTATTGAACAAACCTCCTAATGATAACAGTATTTTTTTAAACATATAAAACGTACAATGCACTGTTCCAAATTCTTACGCACAATAAGTTTCAAAACACTTTAAAGGTTGTAAAAAACTGAAAATTGTCATTTGTTGTGTTTGCAGCATATTTACTGAAATCAAAAGCTATTTCAATCAAACTTATGACAACATTTTAACTTTTTAAACATTTTAATAGGTCATGTTACATTTTAACATAGGACCCATTATTTGATAGCAGCTTCACAAGTCTTGCATCCATTGAATTTGTGAGTTTTTGGACAGTTTCTGCTTGAATTTGTTTGCAAGATGTCTGAATAGCCTCCCAGAGCTGCTGTTTGGATGTAAACTGCCTCCCACCCTCATAGGTCTTTTGCTTGAGGATGCTCCAAAGGTTCTCAATAGGATTGAGGTCAGGGGAGGATGGAGGCCACATAATGACTTTCTCTATTTTATCCCCATATCAGCCATTGATGCAGAGGTATTCTTTGCAGCATGAGATGGTGCATTGTCATGCATGAAGATGATTTTATTATGGAAAGCATAGTTCTTCCTTCTGTACCAGGGAAGAAAGTGGTCAGTCAGAAACTCCACATACTTTGCAGAGGTCATCTTTACACCTTCGGGGACCCTAAAGGGGCCGACCAGCTCTCTTCCCATGATTCAGGCCCAAAACATGACTCCACCACTGCCTTGCTGACATCTCAGCCTTGTTAGAACAGGGTGGCCATCCACCAACCATCCACTACTCCATCCATCTGGACCATCCAGGGTTGCACAGCACTCATCAGTGAACTGGACTGTTTGAAAATTAGTTTTCATGTATTTTTCTGCCCAATGCAGCCATTTCTGGTTGTGAGCATTGATTAGTGGTGGCCGACTAGAAGGTTGAAGGATGTTCAACAATCTTATAATTTAACATCTTTATCATTTAACATGGTTTCCATCACTTTCCCCACTACTGAAGTAAGGCTTACTGGCCTATAGTTGCCCCACTCCTCCCTACTACCTTTTTTTGTGAATGGGCACAACATTCTCTAACTTCCAATCTTCTGGGACTACTTCTGTTAACAATGATTGGTTAAATAAATCCATAAATGGTTTTGCTAGTACACCGCTAAGTTATTTTTATAACTTTGGTTGTTACCCATCAGGCCCCATCGACTTATTTGTCTTTACTTTTGACAGTTGAAATAGAACCTCTTCCTGTGTGAACTCACATGTAACACATGACTCATTTGTCCTTTTTCTTAACTGAAGTCCCTCTCTTTTATTTTCAGCTGTAAATACTGAACAAAAATATTTATTGAGGCAATCAGCTAGACCTTTATTCTCTTCTACATACCTTCCTTTTGTTTTTAATCTAACTAATCCTTGTTTTACGAAAGAACACAATCTGTCCTGATTCAATCACGTCCATAGTAAACTTGACACATAACAAATAACATTTAATGATTATTATTAAAAAGGTAAAATAACCTGAAAACACGTGAATACATAGGGTGAGAAAAAATATATACAAGTTAATATAGCTCTAAATTGGAAGTACATTAACTAGGAGGTTCTAATTCCTATGAAGTAGGAAGGAGGATGACCAATGGTAAATTCTCCAAATATAACCAAAAGTGGTTAAATAGTTAACTAGTGTGAGCTGCAGATCAAAATGGTAGTTTCTTACTAGTAAAATCAGTAACTGGAAACCAGTACCTATCTGTAACAACTATAGAAAAAGAAAATGTATCGAATAAGAGCAACAATTACACGTAGAATAAATAGGGAAATGTCACCTAAATGTCTAATTTAGATAGTACCAAACTAGTGGTGAATTCCTATCAGTACTCATAGGCGTGCGCACGGGTTGTGCCGGGTGTGCCTAGGCAAACCCTTATCCCCGTGGCACGCGCTATGTGCCTCCCTCCGAGGGCAGGCGAGGGAGATCTCCCTCATCAGCCCACAGGCAGGGAGGGAGGCAGGAGAGGACCCGGGGAGCTCTTGTCAGCAGCTCTGACGGGTTCCTCTCGCGAGGTCGGAGCGATGCTGCGGTTCACTCTCCACTGGACCACCAGGGATGGCAGCAGCACGGTCTCCCCCTCCCTCTATAAGGTAAGAAGGGAGAGGGGATATTAACTAAACAGCCCCCACGCCCCACACATTACACACAAACAGCACACACACACATACATCACCCTTACACACACAGCACCCACACACATACATCACCCTTACACACACAGCACCCACACACACACACACACTAACAGCACCCTCACACTAACAACACCCTTACACACCCAGCACCCTCACACTAACAACACCCTTACACACACAGCACCCTCACACTAACAACACCCTTACACACACAGCACCCTCACACTAACAACACCCTTACACACACAGCACCCTCACACTAACAACACCCTTACACACTCACTCTAACAGCACTCTCTCACTAACAACACCCTTACACACACAGCACCCTCACACATACACACACACAGCACACACTAACAGCACCCTTACACACATGGCACCTTTACACACACAGCACCCTTACACACACACAGCACACACTAACATCACCCTTACACACACAGCACCTTTACACATACACACACTAACAGCATTCTTACACACAGCACCCTCACATACATAGCACCCTTACACACACACAGCATACACTAACAGCACCCTTAGACACACAGCACCATCACCCACACACACAAAGCACACACTAACAACACCCTTACACACACAGCACCCTCACACACACACTAACAGCACCCTTACACATACACACACACAGCACACACTAACAGCACCCTTACACACACAGCGTCCTTACACACACAGCGCCCTCACACACACACAGCACCTTCACACACACACAGTGCCCGCACACACACAGCGCCCGCACACACACACAGCGTCTTCACACACAGCACCTACACACACACACAGCACCTACACACATCACCCTCACACACACAGCATTATGTGTGTGTGTATGTATATATATATATATATATATATATATTTATATGCAGGGTGTGTGTTTCTGCTTTACGGTGCACACCCTTATACAATAGTACTACAATGTAGCAATCAAAAACAAACAAAATATTTACTAGTAGTGCATAAACTAAGTGAATATAATATGAACCAGAAAAATAAAATAAAAATACAAGGACAGTAAAATGTCCGTAAATTATCTGTAACAACTATAGAAAAAGAAAATGTATCTAATAAGAGCAACAATTATATGTAGAAGAAATAGGGAAATGTCACCTAAATGTCTATTTTAGATAGTACCAAACTAGTGGTGAATTCCTATCAGTACTACAGTAGCAATCAAAAAAACAAACAAAATATTTACTAGTAGTGCATAAACTAAGTGAAATATAATATGAACCAGTGCTAAGTGAACCAGAAAAATTAAATAAAAAATAAAATAAAATAAAAGAGGTTAACAGTTAATGTAGATGCTTGAACAGCTACTTTGTTCACATGGACTAGTTTATAGTCTCTACCAAATGGAGGGTATATATACATAGATAGTATAGTGAAATTATTTTTAAGGATCATAGAGTGTCTCATTAAATATAGGTTTACCCCTTACTTTTCCCAGCTAGCACGGTACTTTATTAATAGGTACCGTACTAAATACTACATTCTACTGAATATAATAACTTATCCCATACTAGACAGCAGCCTTACTAATAATATGAATCACGATCAAATTGGCACACAAGGTATCAGCATCACAATACAGTATACACTCTCTATGATCCTTAAAAATAATTTCACTATACTATCTATGTATATTTATCTCATCTCCATTTGATAGAGACTATAAACTAGCCCATGTGAACAAGGTAGCTGTTCAAGCGTCTACATTAACAGATATAAATTGAAAATTTACAGGCATTTCACTGTCCTTGTACTTTTATTTTAATTTATTTTCATTTTATTTTTCTTGTTCACTTAGCAAAATTACCTTACATAATTAAATATGGGCATCTTACGGTCCTATTAACAATTATCATTGATTCTTTCAACAGATCATAG